GTCTAGCACCCAGCAGATCATCGCGTTGGGTAAAATTTTTGCTCCTCCTGTACCATTCCTTTCACAACCACGTACCACCATCTTATGGAATTTGCCCAAAATTTTGCTACCAAGCTGGGTTAAAGGGGGGGGGGGCTGTATTAACCCCTCCGATTAACTACATATACTACTGAAACACGTCAGCGAAAAGCAATCCTATGCCCGGCAGTTTTTCTAACCCCAATAAAACTTTAAAAGTGCTATCGCATTTAAATGTGCTATCGCAGTGATGGTAGTAATGGCTGTAACGGGGGAAGGGCATAACGCCAGTGAATCGGGAAAAACCAATGAAAGTCAACTACCCAGAAACATTTCCCGTGAAAGCGGGCACGACCCCTCCTTCTCTCCACCGACCACATACAACCCGCCTCACTGGGGATCTACAGCGCACGACATGACGTTCCTTGACTTAAAAGGGGGCTCTGCGAGGGTAACCATTTCAAACGTTGCAATTCGTGTTCACGGATGACGTTAACCTAACTTTTGCCCATGGTTTCCTTCAAGTGGCCCTTCAACCTGATAAGCGGCAAGCGTTAACTTTTCACACACAAAATGAAGTCGATATAAGAGATGGTGAGAAAAAATTGGGAATAGCACCTCCCACAATACATTCTACTATTTTATTCATGCAAAAACCAAATAGGCGCAATTTCCGTCGCGCCGTCCCGTATGCCCCACCCCCCGTCCTTAACTGCAGTAGCGTCAAAAAAATAACATCGTGGAGTTAACAAACTGAAATAACGCAAAATATCACTGAACATCACCCTTCTTGATATGCTTTCCCACATGATTCACAGCGATAGCAGTAAAAAAGTAAATAGAAAGAAAGGTCAAAGCTGACTCACCCTGAGTCTGATTTCGTAGTCCGTGTAGCGCATTTTTCCAACACCGTGCGTAATTGGATTCACCACTTCGATTTCAAGAAAATTTGCCGGTGGTGCGTACGCTTCATCAAGCGTTTGACGTTTCGGCTGAAGACGTTGTGTAGCGCTTGCTGCACTGCTCATCGCTAGAAAAGGACCGATAGTATCTTGGTTGGGCGCAGGTATAGTAGGAGTCCGCAGTTCAATTAAAAAAATTCTGCCTAAGGCTTGAGAGAACTGCGCATCTGTTATACATCAGTACCAAAATCTGTACCACGATGTTACAATTCAAGCGTCAAAAAATACGACATTAAAGTGCGTTCGTACTTCGCGATCGCGAAGTATGAACGCGCTCTTACAAATCCAGAGGGGCAAAACAAAATGGGTCAATACGCGTTATCACATAGACCTCGGACGCTCTCATGCTCTCTGAGGTTGCAACCGCCATGTTTCCGTATCTCCTGACTCCGCGCTAGTCATGGGCTACGTTCCGTGGGACTATGAGTGAGCGCTTCGAGTCCAAGAGTGCGTGCATACTTTGCCGCAGCGTTTTAGCTTTGCTAGCGTCTTGAGCGACTAGGAAATCGATATTGAGGTATCGATCTGCCTACTCGCTCGCCTCAAGCACCATTGCCCTAGAGATTTGGCAGCGCCCAGGCTCGGGTTTTTATAGCGCGTCATCGATTATCGCTATAGCTGTTCTTCAGGTCCATCAAAAGCCTCGCGGACGCCTGCAAGCCGTAAAGATCTACCCTCTAACCACAGCCTTTTCCGAGAAAGAGTATTAAAGACGTGCTAAATGGTCCTTCCTCCTTCTCTCTCCCGCTCTACTGAACAATCGCGCCATTGTGTTCATAGGAAAACAAAGGCAGTCATTAATAAAAAAGCATTTGACGTGATAAAAAGTTCGATGAGCGATAACTCTTATGATGGAGTCATGGCTCGACAAACTCTCTTTCATAGATGTGAACTCCATGAGCCTTGCGAGTCATTTCGCCAAGGCTAAATCTGCAACAAACCCGTATATGCATAAACAATGAAGCCTTGGGGGCTGAATCGTGTGAAATCTTAGACTGGACCCAGCAACACCTTGATTAGCTCCCACACAAGAAAATCTAGGCCGCTCGAAGGGTAAAGAAAGTCGGAAGAGCATCAATTGAACTGTCAGGCAAAGGATGACTACGTAAATCAAGTTGGAGAATATGACCGAGAAGGCCACGTGAACGATAGTTCGATGCGCCGGTAACACGGGCTAGCCATAACGCGCGACGGGCCGACAAACTGAACTGCAAGTGACGTCATCATACGCTACGTACTTTAGATGTGCAGGCGACAACGGCGTGGCCGAGAGCTCGAGACAGCTGGTCCGTGCGAAATTAAAGAGTTATGAACATCTGCCTCCAGATTAGTGAAAATTTCAGTGGTGTTTCACGTTGTTTTTTTACGAGATGGACAATGAGAATCTTGGGGAGGGTCTTCCGTGGCTACGTTAGGTGATGCCTGTGTAGGTTCCATTTTTCTATTCAAAATTAACAGTCCTTACATCCGTCAGACTTTCAATCCTTTCGTTGTCCCTTTCGTCATGTTTTTCAAGCTTCTTCAACAACCTTTCGGATCCTTTAGTTCGATAGTGTATTTGGATGGTACCGTGCAAGTGCCAGGTTCTGTGCAAAACTAGGGACACCGGCCGGAACTGAACACACAATTTGGTGGAATCAGGACGGCAGGATGAGCGCGTTAGCCACTGCGCCGCTCAGATTCACCCACGGGCCTATCCAAGCCTTTCTTGGCTCTTCTTTATTGCTAATCTAACATTATTGTTCTGACTTTGAGTGACTTAACCATGGTATATGTTTCTTGAGTGATTAGATGTGCGCAACGATTCAGGAGTTCTCTCCATTTAGCTTCCATCTATTTCTATCTATTTACTGTAAGCTGATCTTCAATTTACAGATGTTTTCCGATAATGGCTGCCTGAGTACCAAAGTACCTATAGATGCCACGAGAACTCCGTTCCGACCTTCAGTTTTGCGCACACGCTGCGCAACCGCGCGCGTCTCACCACGTTTCCTGGCTGCGTTCACACTTTGCGAATCAGCGTTTTGGAGGAACTAGCGTCTTGAACGAAAGGTAGCATAGGTACCGATCGGCGATAGTCGGCTTGCGTTTTGGGAGAGGCACGGTTTTGAGCGAAAAGCAGAGGTGTCGCTCGGTCGGCGCCAAAACGCTGATTCTCCCTAATGCTCAAAACGCTTTGCGACCGGTGCCCATCGCGACATCTGTGCTACTATTTTTGTTCAATATGCCAGTCGCGAAGTAAGAACGCAGCATTATGCTCTCACGGTGAATTTAAGCGGCGGTTATTGGTGAAACCGAGCTCGTGGGACACAAAACGGCGTAATTGTAGTAGTGACAAAACAGCTGCAGGGGAAATCAGATGGGGAGGGGGGAGGCGGCGAAAGGTGTTTCGTTCACTTTGGTCGTTTGTTTATTTTATTGGTTGTCCAACGCTCTCTAACACTATCTAGGGTCAAGCCTGGAAAAAGAAAGGATCACTACTTTGGTGAGAGGACGTAGATCAGCAAGCAACTTTGGTCGCGCCGACGCGGGCCAACCCTCTCCCCTCCGCCCCAACTCACTTCATCCGTGACATTTTCGAAAAAAATCAACAGCTCCATAGATTTTCGATTTGCTGTTGAGTTTCTTGGCTCTTCAAAGTGGAAAGTTTC